AAAGACCATCCCTGTTTTAAGACTTTATACTTTTTAATTTTTAACTGTTAAAATATTCTTCCTTTTACAAAATGATGATCATAGTATATAGTAACTATTTTTTCTCAATGGGCCTATTTGCCAAAATGAGAAATGGTTAAAATCTGTCAGTATCTAATACTTTTTTAGAAATTTTACTGGTCTATGGAATCTAAAAATCTAGAAACTACTGACATATAAAATTAAAATAACTCATCAGAATGTCATTTCAATATCTAGCCCAAAAGACCCATTGAAACTAATTCTACCCTTCAAAAATTCTCTTCTCTGGTCAAGCCAGTAACTTTACCAAATTCAAACTATGATTTTGATTTCCCTGGACCCTTCTTCTGAACTAACCTTCCTCATCATCCCTCCTCTACAGCCTTCTCTTTCTAATCTAAAAATCTATCTAATATCACAAATCCTTTCCTTACCACTCTATCCTACATTATCTTTCTGTCATCTGAACACCTCCAGCCCTTTAGCTAGGGCTTAATTCCAAACACTAGTTTGGCTCAAGCTACCTAAGTAAGAATCACTGTGTGGAGATTTTTTAAAGGCAGTTTCCAGCATCTCAGTGCAGATTAGGAGTATTTCCAGGATTGGGGTATAAGAGCCAGTAGTTTTTTAAAGTTTAGGGAACAAAGGAAGTCTTATTACATAAAAATAATTTGACCACAATGATAATGCTTACATGTTTATCCTAAGCCTTCCTATTAAACATCGAATGTGCATATCCCATGTATAATTATACATGGGAAGAGCTTAATTTTGAAATAATTCATTTCAAATTCAATTGTAATATTTTGACACAGATACATAGAGGCATTTGTGAAAATGGTGTATTATCATAGAAGGGCACATATTATAAAGAAATTAATATTCTTAGGCTTAAGTTTATTCAAATGGGCAGCAAAGAAATTTTGCTTTAAAAACACAAGTTAACCTAAATATAGTTTACCAACCTGTTTGTTGTTCTCTGCCATGGAAAGCTGCAATGCCAAAAGCATGGAGTCTGCACCACATACAGTAGTTCTCTCAGAGTTACAAAGAGCGTGCCAATTCTTTCGAAACTCTTTAATCATATCCAAGACAGACTTCTGATTAAGCACAGCCATTATCTTAAAGTAGGACAGAATACAAAATTAAAGTACCGTACCTTATGTTAATTGGAAATTAACATTTAACATGCATACGCAAGCACAGTTAGAGAAAAATATACAGTGAATGAGAGATCATTTCATATTTACCAAGATTGCTTTTAAACTTAGGAAAATAAAATAATACAATTTTCTGCACAATCATATTTTCCTCCCCTTTAGTTTCTTAAGCCAAACCTTTTGAAAAAACAAAATCCAGGTTTTACTTCTGAAAATTCAAACAAGATACGCAAATTTATTGAAAACTTGTAATTACAGACAAACACACCTAAAGCTGTATTTAAATATGAATATTTGTTTTGAGATAGATAATATCTGATAGACTGAAAAAAAAAAAAAAAAAAAAGCCAATTTGCCCCCATCCTATATTGTCCCAAAAGAGGTGGCCTATTTTTCTACCCCTTTGAATATGGACCAGCCTTGTGACTTGATTTAACCAACAGAACGTGGCAAGAATGATGCCGCGGGAGTTCTGGGCGTAGGCCTTAAGTGGAGTGTGGCATAAGTATTAACACAATAGGCCTCAATGCTATCCTCTTTGAAGCTGGAGTCCAGTCCAGGAACTTAGATTTCAGAAACGTTTCCACTAAGAGTGGCTCACTGTGCTAAACTGTTCATACAAACAATATAGTTTATGCTAAACACTTGCTTTCCTTCTGAGTCTGCAATTTTGGTACATGTCAGACAATGGATGCCTTTATGTTCAGCCCCCAATAAAAACCCTGGGCACTGAACCTCTAATAATCTTCCCTGGTAGACATTTCACATGTGTTGTCGCAACCTGTTACTAGAGGAATTGTGTTCTGTGTGACCACTAGAATATCACCCAGCAGTGTCTTGCCCAAATTGCTGATCCACAGAATCATAAGCAAATGGGCTATTTTAAACGATAACTTTTGAAGTGGTTTGTTACACAGTATTACATAACCAATAAAATAGCTAATAGGAGCCTACTTGATGCCAGATACTTTTCAAAAGCTTAATATTGATTACCTCATTCAATTCTCGTAAGTGTCTCATAAGACAGATGTATTACTACCCTCATTTTACCTAAAATAATATCCCGTTACTCAGTTTATAAATGGACAAACAGCATAAACCCAAGATGTCTAACTCTATAAGCTGTGTTCTTAAGGCATTATGCTAAATAACTTCTCCTGATGCACACAAAAGTCTTTCAAAATAATTGGAGGTAGGTAGTGCCAATGTTTTATATACCCAAGACTTATAGTCTGGGTATATGTTTGGTATATGGGTATATAGTCTGGGTATTACTCCTAAAATAAATCTTTAGGAGTCAATTACTTACTGGTATTATTTAAAGGTAGTATTATGAGATTTGATTGCTAGGAATGAAGACTCACTTGGGAATTAGACTATTCTGAAATGTGGAGGCATCCAATTCCTCTGAGTTTACAGATATGCCTGGTAAAATTTTTTTCCTACTCCTTTTACATATCCAAGTCTCCAACATATTCACAAGGCCATCATCTTATTTTGTGTATTTTCCCGTGTTCATTCCATTTACTGACTCCTGCTATCCACTTCTACTTTTATGTGGCATAAACAGAATCTCAGATGTCTACTGGCATCTTTGGTTTGTATGATTAAGAACAAAGATATATGCCACCTGCAAAATAATTAAATTATAGACACAATCTATGATGCAACGTAAAGATACCAGTAGAAGATTAATTATTTACATAAATGCAAATCCCAGTAAATAGCTGAGTGTTGTATTTCTCTTCAAAAAATCACCCTCATCTCTTGAAAGAAAAAAAAAAGTGAAGAAGTATCAGCTTCAGTGTCATGATTACTTTGCCTGAAATAAATTTTTAGGAGTCAATTACTTACTGCTATTATTTAAAGGTAGTATTATGAGATTTGATTGCTATGAATGAAGACTCACTTGGGAATTAGACTATTCTGAAATGTGGCTCCACCACTTACTAGCTGTGAGATCTTGGCCAAGTTACATCACCTTTCCCTGCCTCAGCTTCCTCATAATGAAAATGAAAACCCGATCCCATAGGGTTTTATGACGAGTAAACAATATAAACACAAGTAAAACTTTTAGAACAGTGCCTGGCACACATAAACGCACATTAGCTATTATCAGGCATTATGAGTTTCTAAGTTGTTTTGGGTTAAAAGTAAAACAGCATTGGCCAGGCACGGTGGTTCACACCTGTAATACCAGCACTTTGGGAAGCTGAGGCTTGTGTGTCACCTGAGGTTAGGAGTTTGAGACCAGCCTAGCCAACATGGTGAAACCCCGTCTACTAAAAATTAGCTGGGTGTGGTGGCATGCACCAATAATCCTAGCTACTCGGGAGGCTGAGACAGGAGAATCGCTTGAACCCGGGAGGTGGAGGTTGCCGAGAGCCGAGATCACACCACTGCACTCCAGCCTAGGCAACAGAGCGAGACTCCATCTTACATACCTATATATTTAGAAAAAAAAAAAAAAAAAAAAAAAAAAAAAAAAAAAAAAAAAAAAAAAAAAAAAAAAAAAAAAAAAAAGCATTACTATGGGTGACAGAAAACCAAGAGTCTCATTCAGGGATCAGCTTTTTGGAAAGGAAAAAACAGTAAATATTTGAGGCATAGCACTACCCACTTTGACCTGTAGTGTGAAAACAGCCATGGACACACATAAACAAACAAATGAGCATGGCAGTGCTCCATGAAAACTTTTTTAATGGACACTAAAATTTGAATTTCATGTAAGTGTTACAGATCACAAAACATTATTCTTTTCATTTTTGTTCCCCAACCATATAAACATGTAAAACTCATTCTTAGCTCAGGAGATGGCTGCACAAAAACAAGCAGCACAGCTAGTTTGCCAACCCCTGGTCTAGCCGCAGCTTTTCCTATAGCTAGCTGGCTGTGGGAGCCTATGCGATAAGCCTTACCCATGGTTGCCTGGGTGGAGGCATCATCACACAGAAATACTCGCCTTCCAGTCCGTTGTGAGTCAATGAGAATAAATATGCCAGCACTCTGAATGGCAGGCTTCACCATACAAAAAATAGGTAGCAAAAGACAGCAGCGATAATTAACACTTGTTTTTTAAAAATTGGATTCCAAGCTTCTCTAGAGCACAAACTGTGAGACAGAAAATTGTCACTGGGCAGGCAGTGTGAAATGGTTGAAAGAGCTACACTTTCGAGTCAGATACCACAGGGTTCGCTTCCAGGCTCCCCCATTTATGGTATTTAAAATTTGATGAGCACAAGTTTCTTCACCTGCAAAACCAGGAAGGGAATTCCTACCTCATAGAATAATGAGATGCTAGTGGAACAAGTAACATAACCCACCCAGCGCCAGGCATTTAGTAGGTGCTCGATTTTAAAATGGCACTCAAAGTCATTATTAGTGTTAGAGTGCTAGTCCCAAAGGTTCCTTGGGAGGCTTTAACCAATCGGGGGTAGGGGAAAATTGAGGAAGGGGAAAGATGGAGTCTGAGTACATTATGGGACTAGAACCCTGGTTTCCTGCCTAACTAATGGAAGTTAAGCAGACGTCTATGGGCATGTCTTACAAGCTGCAGACAAACCTTCAGGGCTTTCCAATTCCATCGCTAGATACTGTGAACTCCACCTACACCCCCCGGCCCAACCAGGGCTCCAGAGCGAAGTCACTGCACCTTAATACCTCGGTCCGACGGCACTTTGCTACGACCGAGGTATTATTGTGCAAAGCACCCTCAAAAGCTACAGCCTGAATCACCGCTTAAAAATGCGACAGGACAGGTGGGGCAAACGCGATACTTACCTGGTTATGGGTAGACCCGAAGGCGCAAGCTAGAGTGCGCAGAAAGATACCCCACGGACCCCCCCTCAGCAGCTGCCGCCGCAGTCGCAGCCGAGTACATTTCAAACCTCGCGGGAGGCCTCGGAAGCCAATCGCTGCGCTCGCCCTCCGACCCGGAAGCAGAGCCGGCGCGCGTTGCAGCAGCCCGCATCGAAGACCAGCTTGCCTCTGGTCGCTTCCCGGCGCTCTGCGGTGCGTATCGAGCGGGGAGCCCAAGAGGCCGCGAAGGTTTTTTGCCGGCTGTCACGCCCTGCCACTCTATCCCCGGGAGTTCTTCTGTCCCGCTTCGGGCTCCGGGAGGAGGGAGCGGGGTCTTGTGGAACTCGCCTGGTCCTGGTAGAGGTGTTGGGGTTCATTGCACGGACTTATCTTTTCCCCTCCCTTCTTCTCTGCCCTTCTAGTTTTACGGGGGCAAGTCCTGCCCAACGTGTACGGTGAGGCCCTGGGCACTGCTTTAATTATCAGTGGTTGCGGGGACTGGACAATTTCCTGACCTCGAATCTCTTGCACTTCTTATACCTCTCTGCCTCCGTGTCCGTAACACTTTATGGTCACCCTTAGCAAGTCTCCAGTCCCGGATGTCCATTCCTAAGGTTACTAGTTTATAAGCGTCTCCAGGTGGGACTCATCTGATTCTCAGTACTCTTCAGGTGCTTGATATGTTTGTTACTGAGCCCAACTGTTTTCAGGACAACCCTTGTGTTGAATTAAAACACAAACAAAAACTCTAAAACGCGTAATTCTCATATGGGAATGCTCCTTCCAGAGTGCACACTAGTCCTTGACGGCTTAGTTAAGGTCACGTGCCCAGTTTTAAAAATGTTATTTTTTTAAATTTAAGTTCTGGGATACATGTGCGGGACGTGCAAGTTTATTACAAAGGTAAACGTGTGCTGTGGTGGTTTGCTGCACCTATCAATCCATCACCTAAGTAGTAAGCTCCGCATGCATTAGCTGTTTATCCTGATGCTCTCCCTCTCCCCGGACCCCTGAATATTATTTTTATATCACACATTTTGGCACTTGTTAAAACAGGTCCTGTATTTTGTATCTGTTTATATGATAGCACTTTTCACGTTGAATCATAACTATCCCTAAAATTGTGGTCTCCTTCAAGCCAGGAGGCTGTGTTTTTCTTCATTAGCATTGGTTCTCCACACACAAAGAACTCTTGCAAATCCTGGCTCTGCTTATGAGCTTGGCAAGTTAACCTACTGAAGCCTCAGTTTCTCCATCTACAAAATGGAGACAAGACGTAGTACCTGCCTTTAGGTTTGTACAGATATCAATCATGTCAGTAAAATGCTTAATATGGCACCTACAAATAATGCTTCACAAATGTTAATTATTAATTTTTATTAACATTTGCTATTAAAATGATTCCATCTGAATATGGAATACTATTTCTTTTAGATAATCTAAACAGAACTTTATGGTGTTATTGTCTGCTGTAATCACAGATATGGAAAAGAGCTTTGGAGCAAATGTGGAACCATTAATAACTAGATTTAATGAAGTACTTATCCCTTGATGTTTCTTTTGAGCTTTCTGTCTCATTGTAACACCACAACCATATTTTGATGCATTTGTGGAATGACTGATACTTTGACCGTTCTAATTGTATCTGTGCTGTAATCCACAGTTTCGACCTTGTCCAGTAGAAGGCTATTGAATTTTTACAACTGCTTGAATTTTGACATACAAGATGAAGCAAGATGCCTCAAGAAATGCTGCCTACACTGTGGATTGTGAAGATTATGTGCATGTGGTAGAATTTAATCCCTTTGAGACTGGGGATTCAGGAAACCTAATTGCATATGGTGGCAATAATTATGTGGTCATTGGCACGTGTACGTTTCAGGTTAGTCTACAAAACTGCACTGAATGACAGTGAAGCTATTTCACTGATAAAAAAACTTATACAAACCAAATCCAAACTTTGAAAATATATTGAGTTTGAATGTTAAAGAGAGATAACACCCCTAGAGAAAGATGTTCCCAGTTATATGTGCCTGACATTTATGTAAACATTATATAGATAGTGAAAAATAATAGTATAATGCTTCGCTTTTGCCTCATGGTCATTAGTGGAATGTTCTGCTAATTGAAGGGCATGATTAACTGAACATTGGTATGTACAGGAAAAAAAAATTTAAATGAGAGCCAATTAATTATGGTTTTTCTACATTCTGCTTTGACATACGAAGTCAGCTAATATTGAGAGCCTGAAAAATTATCTTCCAGGAGATTTTATAATTTTTATAACATTTAGCTTTCCTATTAGTATGCTGTCATATTGTTTGTGCATCCAGAGTGTACAAAGTATGGGCTATATTAATTGAGCAGGCAGTTAAGCATTGCCATTAAGAGCATGAATTCTAGACCCAGAATGCCTACATGTTCACTCCTGCTTGGCTTTACTTCTTACTAGCTATGCAACCTTGAATAAAATATTTAACTTCTCCTGTAAACATGAGGAAAATAATGCTCGAATTTTAGCATATGTAAAATTCCAACAGGGCATCTGACAACTTAGTAATCCATCCGTATGTTTTATTTGTCATTGATATGGGCAGTGGTAACACTCTCAGATTTAATCACCAAAGTAAGATTGCTTTGTGGTGTACATACACCATGCTTTCTGAGAGGAAAGCTTGTTTTACATGTAAGAGAGACTTTGAACAATGAAGGTTCAACCCTCAGGACTAGCTGGTTAATCCTTTATCTGAATATTGTTAATAGAATATTTCTCAAATTATAATCAATGCGGTAATTTGGAAGTGGCCAATTTTCAAAGATTTAAAATAACTTTATCACTGAAGTGATATTATGTTGTTATAGTTATTTCTTCCTTTACTGAGAAGGCAATTCTGTATCTTACAGTATTCTGACATCAAAAATGCAATTTGGCATTTTATTGTACAATATATATATAAATCTATACAAATTTGGATATAATGATATTTATCCTAAGAGAAAATATGAATTTAACATTTCACTTTGTTGCTGTCTGAGTAGAATATGACAGCTCCTTGGCTATCCCATACTGTCTCTTTGAGTGGAGGTAGAAATTACTAGCTTTTAGACTAAATATGACCCTCACCCTTAGATGGACTCGGTTTAGGATCATAAAAAGTCATATGATTAAGACAATGTAACGTACTTGAAATTTCAAGACCTGAGGAAAAACCATTTCTTTAATGGAATCCGCCAATGCACAAAAGAGTAAAGCAGCCCCCTACAGGTAAAACTAACTTTTTACTTCATTACTCTTAATAACTGGACATAAAATTGTATTCGAAAACATTGAAAAATGTTTATCTCTCATGATTAAGAAATGTTGAAAGAGAAAGTCAATGGAGAACGAATTAAGAAAAAGGAAAGGCAAAGATGAGAGAGGGAGAAGATTTAAAGAGAAGGAAAATGACAAAATGGAAAAAAGAACTAGTATAAACATTTGTGTTCTGTTTTGGGTGATGGACCCATGTATTGTCTCAGTTGATCCTCATACCCATGAGATTAGCAATGTAGGTCTCATTGCGAAGGAAAAAATTAAATTTTTATTAATTTGGGCAATAGTAAGCACAAATTGTATTCTGTACCAGACATTGGAAATACAATTAAATAAGCCCGTTTCAAAATAAATTATTGCTTTTCTTTGATTTTTTAATGTAACTAAACACTGTTAAATATTATTACTGTTCTCTTGTCCTAGAATTTCAAGTTCCATTGCACCCAATTTCATGCCTCTTGTCTTGAGAGAAAACTAAGTAAAGGTAAATTAAGTGGAAAGATTTCCACATTCCTGTCAGAAAGACAATCCTTATTTTAAGACTATTTAGAAAACGTTGTAGATACAGTCAATTTGAATTTCAACAAAGCATTTTCAGAATCTCATGCTGTCCCTTTGATTATGATGGAAATAATGAGCTTCTAAATGATAGTGCTGTTAACTGATGTCATGTATTTGTCAAATATTCATTAAGTGCATGCTGGGTGCCAAGAAGCGAAAAAAGTATGGACCATGTCCTTAAAGAGATTTTAAATATAAAGCAGTACAATGAGAAAAATGTTATAAAAACCTTTGTTAAGAGGAGCATGAACATAGGTGCTTGCCTAAATCAGTGTTCTCATGCAAGCTCTACTAGGGGCCTCAATTTACTAATGAAGACCCTTTGAATAGACTTAGAAATCTTGTATGTATTTTACACTTTTTAAAGTGTGCACGTATCAAATAGAACTAGCCCCATTTCACATGCTTCATAAGGTCCTGTGTAGCTACCATATCAGACAGCGCAGTTCTCTCTGTATCGTCCTCTGTAAATTGACAATAATCTTTAATATTATAATAATAATACTCTTTAGTTCTCAGCAGTATATTAGGATTCAGAGGATATAATATATTTTAATATAAATTTCAGAATAGTGTCTAAATATTTAAAACTGTGAAAGAGGTATTAGTCTCAGAATGGTAAATGGATTTTATGTTGTTACCTCTATTTGAATGAACAGAGTTCATTGCTTATAATGCTTTCAGGCTGAGGCTGAATCTGCTGCTCAGTGTGTATTTACCTAGGGAAGATAACTATGGCCAGATATTTGCCATCATTCAATTAGACTGACTTAGTGGGATTCCAGAGATGGAACATGGAGCAATGAATAGAATTTACATGGAAACAAATTTTGGCTTAAGGTTAAGAACTCTTCTAATAATTAGAGCTATCCCCCAACTGAATAATTGATTAGTGGCTACCGTAGAAGTAGCTAGTTCCCTCTCACTGGAAGTGTTCAGAGAGGGGTTGTATAAACTCTTTTTATCAGATGCTCTCCTAGGGATTCAAGCATTAGGGGAAAGAATTGAACTAGAGAAACTTCACAGTCTTGACTAACTGAAAGTCTGTTTTTGGCCTTAAATGGGTATGGTAGGAGGGCCTGCCAGTTTCAAACCCTTATAATAACCCTTCCATCAACCTGGCTTTGCCCCAACCTCAAATATGCTGAAGCCTTGTATAATCATTTGTATTATAGTAAGTTTTCCAAACTGTCTTAATTTCCTGCTTATACCATTCCTGCTTACACCCAAACTAAATCCAAAATAACATTTGTCTCTGCTTATACCACACACACACCCTGGCCTTTTAGTTGGCTCAGTGGCAAACAGTGCTGCCAGGAAAAAAAGGTTTCACTGGTAATATAAAAAACTCAAGCTATATAATCCCTGGGATTTCTTTATCCCATGACCATCCAGTAATTCCATATGTAATTTGGGTAACAAATTATAGGACCTGATTGTTAACAATATTGTTTCAGTAGTAAGATGATGTGTATTTTCATGTAAAAACTTCATTATTAAGAGACTGATTTGTCAAGTTGGGAAAAATAGATATAACCCAAACTATGAAGTCAGCTATGATTAGGTACCTAAACTTATTTTAAAATTGCTTAGTGGCTGCTGCTTTGGCATATCTGGCTGTTAGCTGTACAACTATTATACACACAAATTACGAAGTAATAAAATTTGACAGTGTTTTTCTTTACTTGATAAGTGTATTTCTATTATTTCATTTATGGAAAACCTTTTCACTGTTAACTCTAAGTTCACCTGAAACTTAAAGTTATTTTCAAAGGGTATTTGAATTATATAGAGAAAGATGAGTAATATATTTGTAAAATGACTTTGCTAGGATCCCAAAGGCCGTCCTAGAAAAATCAGCATATCCACTTGGATTTCATTTGAGTATACATTATAAAACTTTGCATTTAGATTCTGGGTGAATGGAATTCTTAGATCAGGCCTTCAAGTAATTCCTATCAATATAGACATACGGGTTTCATTAAATACCAAGTTTCACCTGCTGGATTTTTTCCTGATATTTTATAATCTGATACACTTTTATAAAAAAAAAAAAAAAACTGGTTAATACACAAGATTCCTTGGACACATTTGTCATGAAAATTTTGCTTTAGTCTATAGACCCAGTTCAGATATTGATTTAAATAAAAATGATGATTTACTTATTTTTAAAATTGCAAAAATTTTTTATGGTTTTTTTTTCTTTTTTACCTTTCCAATTGTGCTGGGCAGTATTTTAATGCGTATAAAATGTATGTTATCCATAAAGGCATAAAGAATAATAAGATGGATCCCTATATATCTGCTACCTAGTTTAAGAAATGGAACATTAGCAATTCTTTTGAGGCCCAGTCAGTATCCTTCTCTTACTCATGGTAGGTATTTTGCATGGCAGGGTTTTCTGTTTGTCTGTTTTTTTCCCTGCTTCTCCCTTAAGGGCCCTGGATCCATACAGAAATCTCTCATCTGGCATCCTTCCTTGTGCAGGCACTAGGATTTGTCTCCTCTCTTACAAACTGAAGCTTTAGATCATTGCATGTGGGCAGATGCCCTTATAACAGCTGCATTCCTTGGTACTCATTTGCTTGTTTGTATTTGGATTTTTGCAATGTTGTAATGGGAAAGCTTTTCAGGTTATTGTCCCCATTTACAGCGCTAGATGCCTTGACTTTTAAAGTTGATTTTTTTCCTCACCTTCCCATGAGGATAAACGGAAATCATTTTTGTAGAGCTGAACTAAATAAATAAGCCAACTTTATTAAGCATTTATTCCCAGAATAAAATATCTAAAACTAAATTAGCCAGATTATTTCTTACATATTCACTGTTCATAGGCTATAAAAGTCCAGGTGAATTATTTGTAGCATCTTACACACATATAATGCCCCATGTAATACTACATGAAAATCATTATACATGACACTGATTATAAAGACTTAGAGGCATCATAAGGTCCCAAAGTATTTTCCATTTAATCAAAATGTTAAGTATATATTTTTAATATTGTCAATAGATAATTCAGTTCTGGTAATTCATTTACTAGAATATTTTGATTCTTTAGAGCATTCCATTTTCTTTGTTTTCTTTTTTTATAATGTAGAGACAGGGTCTCACTATGTTGCCCAGGCTGGTCTCAAGCTCCTGAGCTTAAGCGGTCCTCCCACCTCAGTCCCCCAAAATACTGAGGTTATAGATGTGAGCCACCACACCCCAACAAGCAGTCCATTTTCACTGAATTTATTATGAAATACCTCCTAAGATAAAGTAGGACATGTTTATCATTTATTTCTAGTTGCCGTAGAGAGTTATTTTGTGAGGCTAAGGTAAGCTTGGATTTTTTTTAATTCAATGAATTAATTAAATCTCGAAATTTTTCAAAAGCATAAACAGCCTCCTGATAAATTCATTTTAATGAAATAATACTGTTTGTTTTCATAACTTACTAAAATATTTACTGTGCTTAGGAAGAAGAAGCAGACGTTGAAGGCATTCAGTATAAAACACTTCGAACATTTCACCATGGAGTCAGGGTTGATGGCATAGCTTGGAGCCCGGAGACTAGACTTGATTCATTGCCTCCAATAATCAAGTAAGTTTAACAGTACCAAATGCATTCTTTACTAATGTACTTTGATTGTGTTACGTAATCTGAAGTCTGATTATAGATACTTTTTTCTCCATTTCCATTTTCCACAACCCAAGATACTAGGTATTTTTATATTTGCTATTACTTAGTAATTTAGGCTTATCATCTGAATTTGTGATTTAAATATACAACCATGATTATGATGCCTTAACCATGTGTTTGAGCCAAACTACACAGCTTTTTACGTGAGCTTCATCTGAATCAAGGTCTTTACAGATTCTTCACTAATTCACAACTTTATTGAAAGTACAGCTCTTTTAATAAAAGATATTAATGAGCAGTTGAGACGTTAATGAGCCTTCCTTTCCCCCACATAGACCAAGATCACATTTTCATGTCTCACAGTATGTAAATCTGTAGTTCTGGGCTTTGGACTTCAGTTTTTGTGAAAGTGTTTAAAAAGAATGGTGGTTTTCTGAGAAAAAAATCCTAGCAATGCCTGCTGAAGTCTTCTTTACAGGGGCAAGACTATGTTACATTATTTAAGATTTGTTACAAAACACTAGCCTTGTCTCCACAAATGTCAAATCTAAAAGATGTGTCTTCTTTTAGTAAGCAGTACTTAGCAACTAAAAGTTATCAACTATTAGGCTAACTCCGTGTTTTTTAAATTAAAGGATAATTTAGATACTCTGAAATTCTCAGCTCTTAAGGGTACAGTTTGTTCAGTTTTGACAAATGCATACGTTCGTATAACCCACACTCTATTCATGCACGGTGTTTCTGTCACCCAAGAAAGTTACTTCATATTCCCTTCCAGTTAATCACTGTACCACATTCCCTACAGAAGCAACTATTGATCTGGATTCTATTACCAGAAATCAGTTTTGCCTATTCTAGAACTTCATATAAGTGGAATCATACAGAATTTTTTTTGTGTCTGGCTTAATGTTTTTGAAATTTTTCCACATTGTTATGTATACCAGTGCATTTTAAGTTGTACTCCATTGCAGTGTATCAATAGATGATAGTCTGTTTATTCATTCTTCTATCAATGGGTACCAATACAGTTTCCAGTTTTTAGTTATTATTTTTTACTGAATACTGCTTTTGGTGGTTACATGGTTTAATTTATCTTAGGAGTAGAATTGCTGAGTCACAGGGTAGATGTATGTTTAACATTTTAAGAAAGTGCCAGTTTCTGAAGTGGTTCTACCATTTCATATGTTCACCAGTAATCTACGGGTGGTCTCCCCACTCTCCAACACTCATTCGTTCATTTTGAAACAAGGTCTAGCTCTATCACCCAAGCTACAGTATAGTGGCACCATCTCCACTCACTGCAATCTCTGCCTTCCAGGCTCAAGCCATCTTCCCACCTCAGCCTCCTGAGTAGCTGGAACTATAGGCACACATCACCATGCCTGGCTAATTTTTGTATTTTTTGTAGAGACAGGGATTTGCCATGTTGCCCAGGCTGGAATCAAACTCCTGAGCCCAGGCAATCCACCTCCCTCGGCCTCCCAAAGTTCTGGGATGATAGGCTGAGCCACCATACCTGGCCTATACTCCAACATTTAATATTGTCTATCTTTTTCTTTTCTTTTTTTTGATACAGAATCTCACTCTATTACTCAGGCTGCCAGCCAGACCCATGATCATGGCTCACTGCAGCCTCAACCTCCGTTGTCTCAGCCTCAACCCTGCCTCTCACCTCGGCCTCCCAAGTAGCTGGAACTACAGGCATGCGCTGCCACTCCCAGCTAATTTTTGTATTTTTTGCACTGATGGAGTTTCACCGTGTTGCTCAGTCTGGCCTCGAGCACCTGGGCTCGAACAGTTCACGCATCTTCTTGACCTCCCAAAGTGTTAGGATTACAGGCGTGAGCCACTGTGCCTAGCCTGTCTTTTTAATTTTAGCCATCCTGGGTGATGCCACAATGACATTTCCATGATGACTAATGATGTTGATGCTTTTTTTGGTGTATTTGTTTCTTCTATTAGAAATCTTTGTGTGATTTTTTTTTTATAGGTTGTGAAGCTGTTGCATGTTTTTTCCTAGAAGCCTTTACCAATATTTAGCTAACTTAATTTTGAATAATCTACACAATAGCTTTTGTCAGCATATGTAATATCATTACCAAAGCTGGTGTGCTATTCATTTCCTTTTATATTAAAAGAAACTGGTCACAGTATCTAGACCTAAATAAGAGCCGTCTCTTTGATTCTTTAAATTTTGAAAGCTGTGGAAACAGTCGTCTTCCCTTGGTTTTGAGCTAAGTTTTGTGATACATTCTTTAACCTAGATATTCAATTCTTGTATTCTATGCTCTCCTTGTTGCTTAATACATGTTTTTCTGTCCTCTTTTTGGTGAATTTGCTGTGTTTGATCATTTCTGGTTGGTGTTTTTGTTTGTTTGGTTTTTTTTTAGTTTTTGGTAAACTGTCTCAAGTCCTTTTTGGAATTATCCAAATAACAATAACAAATTCAAAAGACATTAGCAAGACATTAATTTTAGACTATTTTTAGAGCAAGCTGACAGCACAGTCTTGTTTTCAAATAAATTATTATTATAAAAATAATAAATGCTTAATAGATAAAATTTAGAAAACACAGAAAATAAAAAGGATAAGAATGCCATTTATACTCCCAATACCCTTTCCATTTTTTATACATAGTCGTACATAATTGTGATGATACTCAGTAACTCTCTATACTTTTTTTTTAACTTTACTTTTTTAATAGTATTCTAAAATAAATAGTAGTCTATCACCATGACTAAGGTATAACCCAGCATCTCTCTTACCATCATTGGTTTTTATCTTACATTTAGAAACCCTTCATGATGGCTTATGATTAGCATGTAGTTGCCTTAAATTCTTTTTCTCCCTGCCTTTCTACTCTTTCTGTCCCTACTTGCTTTTCTTGCACAGTGGCTGGAGAATTCATTATTTATCTTATTTCAACTCTCTTAGGTTTTCTGGTTCAATTAAAGAAGGACCTAAATATCCCTACAACAGCAAGGATTCAAAGAAAAGTGGGGCAACACAAGGCTGGCCATAAAGTTTTGTGGGTTGGTTTGTTTGGTTTTATTTAAATCCTATTAAGATTATTAATTATCTTTTTAAGTAAGTTTTCTTTGATTGCTGTAACTCCTCTGTTTGCTGACATTTTTACTGAACTTGGCCTCATTTTGCATTAATACCTCTTTACAAACCCTTTTAGTTGGGATATTTCTTTTAACAGCTTCCAGAATACCTTTTATCTGTTTTAGAGATGACATTTTGAAGAAAGCTTTATGATTTCATTATCCTATAACTGAGGAAATCTGTAGGAGACCCTCAACATGAGTGATACTGTGGCAAATTTGTCTAGACTTTCCTATGAGCAAAGAAGTAATGAATACCCGAAGAACAAGACAAATTCAAAGGAAAAGAATTAGGTAGAATAAGCTGTGTTTTACAGTTTTTCTTACCCTTTATTTGCATGTATAAAATATAGCATACATGCTTAAAAATATGTATGTAAAAGTACATACAGTATGTGTTAGGGTTCTCTAGAGGGACAGAACTGACAGGATAGATGTATACATGAAGGGGAGTTTATTAAGGAGTATGGACTCACACGATCACAAGGTGAAGTTCCACAATAAGCCGTCTGCAAGCTGAGGAGCAATTCCGAGTCCCAAAACATCACAAGTAGGGAAGCCAACAGTGCAGCCTTCAGTCTGTGGCCTGAGGCCCAAGAGCTCCTGGCAAACCACTGCTGTAAGTCTAAGACTCCAGAAGCTGAAGAACTTGAGTCTGATGTTCAAGGGCAGGAAGCATCCAACACAGGAGAAAGATGAAGACAGGAAGACACAGCAAGTCAGCTCCTTCCACCTTCTTCTGTTTGTTTTTTTCTAGCTGCGCTGGCAGTCAGCTGGATTGTGCCCACCCACATTGTGGATGTGTCTTCCCCTCCAGTGCACTGACTCAAGTGTTAATCTCTTCTGGCAGCACCCAGATAAACCAAGAACAAATACTTTGTATCCTTCAATCCTAATATTACCCATCACAGAGTATGTGCATTTTAACATGTTTATTACAAAGTAAACACTCACGTAATCATCACAGAGATCAAGATGTAGGACATCACTGGCACTTGAGGTTGCCAGTGTACCCCTCTCCAATCAACCTTCTTTCCCCTTAAAGGCTATCATTTTAAAGATTATTAGGATAATCATTACCTTGCCTTTTTTTTTGTAGTTTTGTGAGTTATTGACGCATCCCTAAGCAATATAGCTTAATTTTGCCTGCTTATGAACTTTTTTTATTGTTGTTGTTGGAATAACATTGAGTTTAGAAGTGGACATTTGTCTAAAATCTACTTTCTTCTGGAGGTCATTTTGTATCTCTTGGAAAAGATCCAGACCCTGCAATGAATGATGTCATGATTTTTTAAAATTTATATATATATATATATATATATATATACACACACACACACACACACACACATATATATATAATTGTATTTTAGGCTCTGAGGTACATATGCAGATCATGCAGGATGGTTGCATAGGTACATATATGGCAATGTGGTTTGCTGCCTCCATCCCCCATCACCTATATCTGGCATTTCTCCCCATAATATCCCTCCCCAACCTCCCTACCTCCCACTGCCCCTCCCCTAGTCCCCCCCAACATACCCCAGCGTGTGATGCTCCCCTCCCTGTGTCCATGTGTTCTCATTGTTCGACACCTGCCTATGAGTGAGAACATATGGTGTTTGATTTTCTATTCTTGTGTCAGTTTGCTGAGAATGATGGTTTCCAGATTCATCCATGTCCCTACAAAGGACACAACTCATCATGTTTTATGGCTGCATAGTATTCCATGGTGTATATGTGCCACATTTTCCTTGTCCAGTCTATCATTGATGGGCATTTGGGTTGGTTCCAGGTCTTTGCTATTGTAAACAGTGCCTCAGTGAATGTACATGTCCATGTGTCTTTATAATA